ATAGATCTTGGACTTAAGGTAACCCCATATCAGAAGTCGCATGGGGTAAGATCGGGCGACCGAGGTGGATATGCAATTGGAAAGTAGGGGCTAATGACTCTTTCTGTTGTGAATTTCTGTCATAGCATCTGTTGCACCCATACAGCAACTTGTGGAGGGGCTCCATCTTGCATGAAAATGATTTCACCCAGGCATTGTCTTTTCTGAAGTGCCGGAATGACAAAGCTGTTCAACATGTGGTGATATTTCTCTCCGGTAACAGAACAGGTTTCCGGTTCTGTCGGGGTAATGATCTCATAAAAGAATGGACCTACGATAAATTCTGCTGTGAACCCACACCAAACAGTTACCTTTGGTGAATGTAAGGGAATTGCTGTGATTGCATGTGGTGATTTGTCATCCCAAGTTCGGCAGTTCTGGGTATTCACAGTTCCATTTAGGGAAAAGTGGGCCTTGTCTCCCCATAAAATCATCCATCATGGCCAAGCATCATCCACCTCCATTCTGGCAAGAAAGATGAGAGCAAAAGTCAATCGCTTATCATGGTCGGCGTATAGTAACTCCTGTACACGGCTGATCTTGTACGGGTAGAAGTTGATAATCTTTCATAAGATTTTCCATATCGTACTGTAAGGCATATCCATATTCCGAGGTACTCCACGAGCGCTAAAGGTGTCAGCAATATTGCCTGGTTCTCTGTCGACAATTGCCGTTGCAACTGCTTCGATTGTATTCCTGTGGGTACAGGTTTCGTCATCCTCTGCCTGACTGAACCTTCAGAGAACCTGTTTTCTCAAATGTCGCAACCATTGCTTTTCAGCCCATTAACTGACACAGGACCATTACCATTTACGCATTTTTTTTTTTTTTTTTTGTGCTTTCTAAAAGCACGAAGAGCGGCTGACGCATTGCACTGGTTGAGGTAACAGAATTTAAAGAATTTGACCAGTAACGCACGCTCGACTAAAGAAGGAGACATTGCACATAAACTTTCAATCCGATTGATTCGAAACGTAACACATTGCCTTTTAAAACCCAAGCAGCTGGCACTGTGCGAATGGATGTAATGTGAAATTTGAATAAAGAACTTCTCCGTGTATGTGATATTGGAGATCACGAGACTTTATCGGTGTGTATGTAGATTTTACGCTTTTTTAAAAGTGTTGCCATATTGCACTTGAATTAAATCAGAAAATGCGCATAATAAAAGGTAATTTTATTCCGTATTAATATGCATTTGTTAACACTATTTTTTTTCTATTACGCAGCGCCAAATATTCATTTAGCGGTGACTTTTGGAACTAATTTGTTTTTTCGCGGAATCCTTCTTCCCGTCTTGTTTAATCTTCCTACAAAATGTGGCATTATTCTCGCAAATAGATCGCACTACAGAACACTGTGAGCACTCTCAGTTTAATTATGGCCACCCGGTATATATATATGTATGTATATACAGGACGTATCAGTACAGCGGATACAGACTTTCAGGAGAGGTAGAATACACCTAGACGATGGGAAATTACATAGCAATGCATGGTCAGAAATGCTTTCATGGCAAGGTAGGGAGGACACCACAAAACACAAAAAGGAAAATATACAAACAGTGAGACAAAACATGTTTTTATGTTTATGTTTAGTACAACAGAAACCTACAAATAAGAACAAAAACAAACGACTATCATCATTAAAGATGGTGTTCAAAATTATGACTCCGGACCGTGATGCAGGCCTCAATTTTCTGGCACATGGAAGATGCTGCATCACGGTCCAGGTCATAATTTCGAACAACTTTAATGATTATTATTGTCTTAAAAATTAAAGATTTTAATTTAATTAATTAAAAAGCGTTTTATTAGCCTTTTAAGGGAGTAAACATGAGCTTTCTTTTTTTAATTTGAAGAATATAAATCAGTGGTTTCACATCATATCTATATAGAACTGGATCTTATTACTTTAGTGAATACTTTTTTCCCTTCATCCTACTTAAGAGTTTACACTGCTGCCTTATTGCATAGTGATCACAGATTCTTTTTCAGTATGAAGTTGTTGAGCTTAAAAATGTTGAAATAATTTTTTAAACAGCAAAAAAGTTTCATTACAAAATTTTACTTCTTCCTATAGTTATATAAGCTTTATTGATTGGTTTTGCTATCCTTATAACTTTTCTTGTATTTTGTTACTGGATTAAGTTTTTCAATTGTAGATTTTATTTGATTTTTACTTCCTTGTACGAAGTAAAAAGGAAGTATTGTAATTGCGAAAAGTTTCATGCAGCATATTTCAACGAAAATATCCATTTTGAGTGCTATCGAATGCAATTTAACAATGTTTTTGCGTGATATCTGTACGTAAGGACAGAATAAAATACTCTTTTCCTTCAAAAAATTATAAAACTGCTTTAAAATTAATTCTGAAGAGAATTTTTCGTGGCGTCTGTACGAACGTACATACGTATCTCGCATAACTCAAAAACGAGTAGCCTCAGAACGTTGAAATTTTGTATATAGGACTGCTATAACATGTAGATGTGCACCTCGTATTTTGGTTGCAATCGCTCGCACCAAACGTATATAAATATATTTATATATATATCCACTCTGTTACCCGGCTCAGTGATCTCAGTTTCTTTACTCTTATATGTTGGTAAATTGTACATTTTTTTGTTTTAAAAATGATTGAATTGAATTTTTTTTATCTTCCGGTTAAGGATATTTTATGCCTTTAGTAAATCTGTGTTGCGCATATTTTTAGAATTATCAGCAATTTTAAAGTTTGTTTTAATGCTGCGAAGCCTTTTTTAATGGCGGCCATTGATGTTTACATTTGAAACGGAGACTAGTGGATTTGTTGCCAATCTAGAGAAACTTAGCTTCTCAACATAAAGATAACGCCTTCATTTATTTTTTAAATCATGCTTAATCCTTTCTGGAATTTTTTCAAGGAAATAAGCGTTTAAGATTTACTTCGTAATTTTCAATATAGATATTTTGAGTTTTTATGTATTTTTGCCTTGTCGCGAAGTGAGAACTGAATTAATTAAATGAGAAATACTCAATCGTCTGTGAAAAACTGTTTCTTTTTTGTTTTATTTGCTTAATCTCTTTTATACATCATTCTAGCTTTATTATAGTATTTGAATAGAAACATGTGGCAACGATTAGATAATTCTATTCTTTAAATGATATAAATTTTGTGCATTATGAGTTATAATATGAACGAAATGTATAAGTTAACTGTTATATAATTATTGGATTATATAACAGTTAACTAACTTAGTTTCCATTATAAAATTATTATATAAGTTAACTGTTATATAATTATTAATACTGTTAAGTGAATCTAGCGCCAGAGTGTAGCTATGGTAAACAAATACTAGAGAGAATTCTATTGTGGTTTATGCGCTGTCGGCGAAGTAGATTTAATTCAGTCCAATAAGTTTAAATGAAATGCAAGAAAAAATGCGTATAATTTAATATTCCAATACAGGGAAGTCATGTGGTGTACACATCAGATTTTTTTTTATGGCGGCCATTGATGTTTACATTTGAAACAGGAGACTAGTGGATTTGTTGCCAATCTAGAGAAACTTAGCTTCGCAACAACAAAGATAACGCATTCATTTATTATTGCCAATTAAATCATGCTTAATTCTTTCTGGAATTTTTTCGAGGAATAAGTGTTTGAGATTTACTTCGTCATTAATTTTTAATATAGAATTTTGAGTTTTTTATGTATTTTTGCCTTGTGGCGAAGTGAGAACTGATTAATTAAATGAGAAATGCTCAATCGTCTGTGAAAAACTTTCTTTTTTGTTTGTTTCCTTAATTTCTTTTATACATCATTCTAGCTTTATTATAGTATTTGAATAGAAACATGTGGCAAAGATTAGATAATTCTATTCTTTAAATGATATAAATTTTGTGCATTATGAGTTAATATGAACGAAATATATAAGTTTAACTCTGATATAATTATTGCATTATATAACAGTTAACTTAGTTTCCGTTATATAATTATTATATAAGTTAACTGTTATATAATTATTAATACTGTTAAGTGAATCTAGCGCCGGAGTGTCACTATGGTAAGCAAATACTAGAGTGAATTTTAAAGAATGCATTTATTCTATTGTGGTTTATGCGCTGTCAGCGAAGTAGATTTAATTCAATGCAATAAGTTTAAATGAAATGCAAGAAAAATGCGTATAATTTAATATTCCGTACAAGGAAGTCATGTGGTGTACACATCAGATTTTTTATTGTAAATTTCAAGTGGTATAATTGGGGTTGAGTTATTTGATCCTGAAAAACACCTACAATTATAAGGTAGGATGTGTTTAAGAATGATTTTCTCAGTGAAAATAGTTGGTATTTCCCTGTGTGTTACCACAGGGAAACCTAATGAAGCAAGCCAATATAAATGTTACCTGACTTAAGCCTTATAATCATTAGGTAGTTAAAAATAATTAGGAGTTGCACATTAGGAATTGTGCATTATTAAATTTAAACAATATGCATATGCATTTTTCAGTATTCTTTGAATGGATGTGAAATATGATAACTGAACGTTTTGATTGAGTTAAAAGGAAAATTATTTTCATTTTTATTTTAAAGCTGTTTCATTTATTTTAAAACTACATTAAAGTTACTGATCTTCAGTGTTAAAGATATAGTAATAATCTATCTATTAATTATACATCTGCTGAGCAATAATTTAAATTTATATGAAGTCTGAATTATTATGTATGATCTTGTGTGATTAAATTAGTTTATAAAGCTGTGTGGCTTCTAAATTAATTTGATCACATTTGATAATCTGTAGTATGAAATTATTAAAATTATGATTATTTTATTATGATGTGTAGTATATTTATGTAATTTTCATTTATATGAATAATGTATTTTTTAAATTATTTAATGACACTTCTCTGAGTTCATAAATTTTTTAAATATTAAGATATATTAAATTTTTGTAGTAGATGTAATCTAAATGCATTTCAGAAATACCTCCTGATGGATTTGGATGTGAACTAAAGAAACTAGTTGAAGATCGCTTCAATTTTTATGAAAGAACTTCATTTAAGGATCTCAAAATGAATAATAGTAGTATTAAGGTGAGCACTTGAATTCAAGATTATTAATGCACTCGCCTGCATTTACATAATGCAGTGAATTTTAATATTTTTTTTGTAAAATATGAGTACTGAGTAATTTTATCACATTAGTTCTGTTTTAACATAAAAGGTTGTACATGTCAATTGTTATCCCCAAGACTTGTTATGTAATAATGCGTGGGAGAAATATATTTAGTGCTTAAAACAATTGCATTATTATCTGAGGTATAATAGAAGTCTGTATGTATTTAACAGCAGTCTGTTATTATTATGGTCTTAATACCTTTGGAATTCTGTTTGTTTATATTGTTAAGCATCTTAATTTATTATATTTATAGTAGCAACTTTCCTTTGAGTATTAATTATATGTGTAAAAACTAAATAAATCAATAATTTCGCTAATAAATATTTTAAAGATATATTATGAATTAATTACTGATTAATATTTTCATGTTTTTTTTAATTGAAATATCTATATGCCTGTTGGAAATGCACATCTTCACATCTTTTGTAGTTCCAGTATTTGCTTATCTCATTCCCTTACTTTGGAAAGTGCAAGTGTTAACTGAGGCTAACTGTGATGCCCATGTGCAAGCATAGCTTCTTCATATGTTGAGAGGGGTAAAAAATGGTTTCTGAAACAGGTTCTTTTTATGACGTTTTGAAGCATGCTGTTTTGAATATCCTTCCCCATTCACTTCTGAATCAAAGGAGTGGTGTTCCTTGCAATTTCTTATTCAAATTAAAAATATATATATAAATATTTATTGTTTTTGTATTTTTTATTTTGTATTTCTTTAGTTGGGAATTCATATTATAAAAAGTGAAATACACCAATGGGAAGATTGGATGTAACCTACTTTAGGTTTTTTTCTTTTAAATCTGAGTTTGTTTTAGAACAGTGGCGTGATTTTTGCAAATTTTATCACTGTTTGAACATACAGGCTTAGTTAAGCTAATCTGAGGCCCAGGGCTGAATATCCATTGAAATGCACATTTTCTTTGTTGTGATGAAGAGGGAAACTAAATTTTTTTGGGCCTCCAGAAGCCTGAGTCAGTAGTCAGACCCTGCCTTCATCCTTGGTATGTTTTTATGTGTTCAGAAGATTTTATATTGCTAGCACTGTTTGTGGCTTAGAAAACAATATGTTATAGAATTAAGAAGAGTGGTTTAAAAGAATCAAATTCTGAATCTCAAATAAATTCTTTACAAACTGAAATGCTGTTCAGTGTTTTATAAGAATTGAATTCTGATACTAGTTTAGAAGGAAGTAACAAGTAAGGCACTATTCTTGTATTGAGTACAAAAAAATAAAACTCGTTTATAATAAATATTATCATTAAATGTATTTTGGAGTTCATTTCCTATCATTTATTTAATTTCTTTTTCTCCTACTGTTTGTGGTAGTGTACTTTTTGGAATTTAAGGTACAGAGTATTCATGAAAGCTTACAAGCAGTTTAAATACTAATTAATATTAACTCTTAAAACTATGGAATCTACTTTTTTCAAAGGAATTAATTTACTGAATTACTTAAAGAAATTGTAAATTACTGATCCCTGCTTTTTTGAATTAAGTCTGTAAGAATACAATGCATACAGTTAATTATTTATTGTTTTCAAGTGATTAATTTATTTAACTGCTGATTAACTTATTTAAATTAATACTTTTTGTTACAAAGGAAAATCATATCCTGAGCACATTGTATCCCAGGAAATTTAGAAAAAATGAGCCTTAGCAAATGTAAATTTGATATTTTTTAATTTACTAAATTTTATTACATGACCAAAATTACCTTATTTCATTTATTTGTTAAAATGAAGTGATAGGTTTGCAATAAGTTGTGCAAGAGCTATTTAACTATCTTCAAGTACCTCACATTTCTGAACCAAAAATTTCATCACCTATGGGTAATTTATCTTTTGCATTTTGCGAAAAATGACTTCTGGAAAATTTAATTTGCATGACTTCATTAAATTTAGAATTTGTGAATGATTTCTATCCTGAAATTGGTTGCAATATATTATGCAGAAAGACTGTTTCTCACAAAATTAGCATTTAAAAAAACTTTTCTGAAGCTATTAATTTACTACTTTTGTTTTCTGTGAAGGCCTTTTTCTTTTTGAACTTTTAAAATGTTTTAAAAGGTATTTTTATAATATTTATAACTGTCAGTAGACCTTATATATTTGTTTGTAGTGCATATAAAATATTCTTGGGCAATCACATTAAGCTCTCATTGAACTTCTGCTCCCCAAACATTGATCAATGTTTTAATATTCCACTGATGAGATAAATTAGGTCTCTTATGCTGTTATTACACAGCAATGAAGCAACCTAAGCAAAGCAATATGGGTAAAATTCCTCATCTGCGCTGCTCCAAAGAGGATTAAAAAAATCAAGAAAACCTACTTTCAATTTGGAAAGCTGAATGCTACTTCATCATTTTTCCAAGTTTAAGATGTGTTATTGTTCCTATCCCTTCACAGTTGTAATATTGATTACCACTTGGTAAAGTCCTGGTGATGAAATGGCTAAATGATCAATGCATTTTGCTATGGTTTCAAGTTTAATGCTTGGCTGTTATATTAATTTGATAAAAAAAATAAATTGGTTTAATAAAAGGGAATGTTTGATTTTGAGAGTATTTTAATTGTATTAGAAATGTGTTAAAAATAATTTTAGCAATTAGAATATTTTAATGTATTTTAATCCATTCAGTGCTGCTCCCGAGTTAACACAGAGTTAAAACCTGGCACTGAACAAGTTAAATGCCATATTCAGTAGAAAAATTGGATTAAAAACTCAAAATCATGTATGAAGAAAAATTACTGTATAGTTTATAAATTTACTTTTGCATTCTTTTTTAGTTCTTTGCCGTTGTCTAATTTTAAGGTGTATGATAATTTTGAATACTGTATCTAAATGATATACATAATAGCAATTTAATGGCAAAATAAGTAAATTTTATTGAATTTTAGCTTCATTTTGCTAACATTAAAAACTAAAAATAATTTTTTCTAATGTTTCAGTTTTAATGGATCGGATAATTATTTAAATCAGATATTGATATTATTAAGTAAATATCACAACAGCATTATATATATATTAAATGTGAAATATATGATGAATGCCTTTACAGGGTTCGTAGCGGTCCTTATAAGTGCTTATATGTCCTTATATTTGAAAATATACTTTTTCTTTAAAGTCCTTATTTTTTTGTTTTTAGTGCTTATTTTATGCTTTTAGTGCTTTTTTTTTTAATGAACGCGCTATTTTTCCCCGTACCAAAGCCGAAACTAAATAAACAACTTTTCTTCCTAATATGGTATGTAAGATGGTGAGTCATACTCCCGGAAATAGCTTTTCCTCCTTTCTCTGCATTAACATAACCTTTGGTGTGCACAAAGAGTACAGACAGGTGCCCGTCGTTCTATTGGTCAAAGAATTGCGAAAGCAGTAGAAAATTCCACTACATTCGGCATTCTTTTCCTCCCACCCAAATACTACACACGTTTGAATTTCTATCAAGATCTTAAAAATTTGCATTCTCTTTCTGCTTGGTTAGTTCATATTCGTGTTTATTATGATCGTTATGCTTATATTATGAGCATATGTATGAATGTTTATAATAACATAGTTGCAGTTACTGCTGAAGTATAGCAAACTTCCAAAAATGGTTGTGTTTTAACACAGATTAGCTTTCTAAGGAATAATATTCAGAATGGCTTAAATAAAGGGAAAGTGATCGAATAGTCAAAATAATTTCGTTTTTTTGGACAATATATTATACAGTACGAAGGTTGGGAGGTCTTCCCTTTCTCCACAAAATCTTGAATATTGAAACTGTTACAGTTCACTGCAAAACAAGCAACGGACTTTTTTTTTTTTTTTTTTGGGTTACTTTCCAATCTGGATTGAATAGAACTAAAAGTTCTGCGGTCTACCAACCCAAGCGAAGAATGATTATACGAGGGCCATCCAGGAAGTAGATTACGTTTCCGTCTGTGTCCGCTAGGGGCGGGGCTAGCGCGGCCATCTTGGGGTCAGAGCGTTGCGCAGCTCAGTCTGCATCTAGCCGTGCTAGTGAGAGGTTCGTGCTGTGCTCCGTTCAGATACTGTGACGGTTTGAAATGTCTGCGTTAATTGAAAATCCCGCGAGCTGCGAGGTGCGCTCAGTAATAAGGTTTCTGACTGCAAAAAACTGTAAACCGATAGAAATCTTCGGCAAGCTTCGTGAAGTGTATGGGGACAACATTATCACTGAAGGTGGATGCGTCAGTGGGTCATAAGATTTCAAAATGGCCGAACCAATGTTCACGACGAAGATCGAAGTGGGAGACCCAGCATAGTGACCGCCGAACTTCTCGAAAAAAGTCGATGCTAAAGTCCGTGAAAATCGAAATTTCACAATAACGGAACTTTCTTTGGTTTTTTTCCACAAAATTCGCGAAGTTTGTTGCACGAAATCATCAGCGAAAAGCTTGGTTACCACAAGTTTTGTGCAAGATGGGTTCCAAAAATCTTGACAGAGGACCACAAAAATCAGCGAATGGCTGCAGCGTTGAACTTTTTGGACGCTTACCATAAGGATGGTGACTCTTTACTCGATCGCATCGTTACTGGTGACGAAACATGGGTGACCTATTCCCTATTCCCAGCAATGAAGAAGTGGCTGGCTATGCAGCGTTTTGATGACGACGCACAGCTGCAAGAAGAGGTAACGAAGTGGTTGAAGGCGCAGGCGGCCGAATTTTTTCGACGAAGGAATTTCCAAGCTCGTACATCGCTACGATAAATGCCTTAATTTGTATGGTGACTAGTAGAAAAGTAGTATTTGAGTGTGGCTTTCATCTGTATATAATAAAATTTGTTTCCTATACTTTGTTTATTTTTTTATTCCAAAACGTAATCTACTTTCTGGATAGCCCTCGTATTCCGGAAATTTAACGCCGTTTGTTGAAAATTAGAATGAAAAACACCCCAGTTATTTAGTTCTTTATTCTCCCAATACTGGCAGTTGTTCATTCCGATTGTGTAATATCACGTAGGGAAGAATTACGGCGCACGTATTGCGCAATAACGTTTGCGATATTTTGCAGAGATAATGAATTTTGAAATTTTGATGTTCAGTCCGAGATTTGTTTATGAACACTTACTTACTAACTGAAAGCGTTTTACTGTGCTTGCTAAGCAGAATATTTTTTAGTTCTATTGGTTTATTTTTATGTGATGCACATATTGAAATGTCAAAAGCATTTATTAGCGGAAAAATCTAAAGAGCGGCTACAGTCTACCCTCTTCCGCTCCTTCAAGTTACGCTCGACTGTCAGAATATTCGCCAATTCCAAGTATGCGGGTTAGTTAAGCTTTTACTGTTAAAGATGGTTGCATGAAGCAAATTTCTGTCTTCTGATTTCAGAAATGTTTCTCTTTTTTACTTAAATTACTTTGCTTGCAATTTCTGTTAAGAGAAAACTGATATACAATGAAAATTTAGAAAATGTTCAGAATTTAGATTTAAGTTATTTAAATATCAATATGAGCGGAAAAATAAATTGTATTTATTATTAGGTTCCAAACGAATACAATAATATGCCTTATATTATTTATTTTTCTCTATTTTGAACTGAAATTTCATCATTAAATCTTGTAATATAGTTTAGTTCTTCATAGTTTTTTTTTTTTTTTTTTCTGTCATTGTAAACTAGTTCTGTAAATTGAACTATTATTTAAAATTTAAAAAAAAAAAAAGTAATTATTTTCCATGGCTGAGGTAATACTTACTCTCTCTTAATAAGTACTTCATTTCTGATATTTTAAATTACAATTCTAATTTTTAAGGTTATGCAGTTGTGTATGATGTAATTAGACAGGTGCTTATTTTTTTTTTTCTTAAAATGTGCTTGAAAAGTGCTTATAGGTGTTTATTTTTTTTAACTAAAATGTGGCTATGAACCCTGCTTTATTTTTTATAGAAAAAAGAAACAAAATCCAAGCAAACGAGCAAAGAGAAGGAAAATGCATTAGAGGTTGATGTTATAGCTGAGCAAAATTTAATAGCAGAAAATCAATCAAAGAATCAAACTCTAAATTCTGAGGATATAGATTTTGAAAAAGAGCAAACTGGTGATAATGCAAAAAAGAAAAGCAAGATTGTAAAGAAGGGTTTTGCTGAGCAAAATTTAACCGAAAATTCACCAGATGGTGAAAATCTTACAGCATCCAGAATTTTGAAAAAGAGGAAAATTGCAAAAAGTGATTTAAAATCGTAAGTAATTTCATGAAATTTGATTTTTCTGCTGATAATATAATATATATATATATAAAATAATAATACATTCATGTGTTTCAAAATTTACTGCTAATAAAAATTTTACAAATATTTTTTAAATTTTCTTTTCATTAACATATTTTTTTAAACATTTTTATTATATAGTTATTTTTAAATATCACCCCCTTTGCTATTTTTTTTTTAAAGTAGTAGTTGTGTTTTATATTATCATTGATTTAAAGTTAATTGAATTTTCACCAAAAACTATTTTTGAAATTATTATACTAGATTAGTTCCCACAGTTTTTAATGAAAATGTATTGAATTAATTTCTACAATAAGACAAAGTATAAAATATTTAAGAATAAAGGCAGTTGAATAGGTATAATTTACATATGCATGATATGTGTAATCTAAAACTATATTTTGTTAAAGTCACTGTATGTTCTGTGTAAACTATTAGAAGTATAATAACTTTTAGGATTTTAGTATATCGCTGCATTATTTTTGACAGTGTCTTAATTGATGGTAACTGAAAGAGAATCAGAGCATTTTACAGGTCTTAAAAAAACTATCAACATGTCTGCCCTTCAAGATGCAGAAGTAATTTACAGGATTTTGAATTTGTCTGCCTTTAGAGGCCAAAGTAATTTGCAGGATGAATTTGCAGGATGAACAAAGTGCAAATGTCTATTCTGTATAGGACAAAATGAAATATCAAATTGTGATTTGTAGGATACGATTTAGTGCAATTGTAATAGGAAGACTTCTGGACTTTTAAAAAATTAGTTGAAAGAATGTAAAATGATTTAATGTCAGTTTTGATTTTAGAAATGTTAGAATCTAAAGATTTTAGGATGTACTTCATTTAAAAATCTATAACTTCATGAATTTTGGGTCATAAAAATGATATGACCATTATTATCAACTTCAGAAATAGTAGTTTCTGTAGAACAAACTTCACTCAAAAGTTTACATTAAAAAAAAAAAAAAATTCCCTTGTATTTTTTGGGGATGGGCTAAATTGAGGTAATTAGATTAGAACTGATTTCTTACTGAAGTTCATTTTTGCAACTCTGAAATTTTGCTGAATTTGACTATTTTTCCAATGAGTGCAGTGTTTTTAGGAGCATACTATGTAGATCATGTGTTCTAACCTGGAGGGAATTACTCCCCTAAGGAGGGAGTTTCATAGTTTCAGGGGGAATGAATCACCGCTCTTATTTACCTGTAAAGTATTTAGCTTTAGTTTATGAGTACAAAAGACTTCTTTTGTTCAAGTTTTTGGTATTTATCAACATTTTTTATATTTTTTCTTTTTTAATGTATAAAGCACATAAAAAATAAAGTTTTAATAAATGTATATGTATTTTTTTAGTTTTGGAAAAAATGGGGGGGGGATGATGATGGTGTAGCAATGGTGAAAAAGGTACACTGTGGGGGGGGGAAGGAGAGAGAGACAGTTCTGTATCTCCTGTTCTACTGGGCCGATGGCCAAGCAGGGGCCAAGCTTTCCCTGTAGACCAATTACATATTTATTAATTAAAAAATCTACTAAAGGTGCATATCTCTTTTCTCTTTTTTTTTATACTTTCTTCGGCAAAAATTCTAAAACATGAATGCAGGAAAACTGTCAAATAGAATTCTTTAACACCATAATAATGCATTTGATAAACATATATATACATAATGTGTAACATATTTGATAAACATATGTATAATTATATAATTTAGATAGATTATAAAAATGTAGTTAAACTGAAGATGAATCAAGAACATTGATCTTAAGTGACTTGGAATTTAGGCACAAATGACCAATCCATAAGTCGCAATGCGAGTAGTTTGCAAAACATCTTAGAATAAAATTAAAATAAAGTATACCTCTGTACATCAGCCGGTGAACCTGCAGGTTTAGAGTATTGGTTACTCATCCAATTTTTAATCCCACTTTACTGTCAGCTTTTCAAGAAACTATTTCCTGGGTGCTTTTCTTGTGTTGAGACCAATAGATGGCACAAATGGCCTTGTTTTTTATGACTTCACTATAGCCGTCTCAATTTTGTTTTATTCTCGTAAAAGCACACACTTCTCTGACGTCATTTACATTCCCTTACCTGAAGAAGGAGATTCTAATTTTATATTATTTTTTATACTTTTTTTAGGCCAATCAGCTGACGAGCGGTAAAGTCGCTGAACACTGGTAGTTCGGTCGAGGTTCGAATCCCACGAACGGGCTGGCAGCATGTGCGTTTTCGTGGTTTTCCCCATGTGTAATGTATATACGAGCCAGTTTCCCTTAGAAAGTCCTCCATGAAGGCATCCCTCCCTTCAGGCAGATAGCCCTCGAGGTTTTACCATAATCACATACACATACTACTGGGCCGATTGACAAAGTTCAAATTGCATTTTTCATGTCTCAAAAGCAGGACTTAGGATATATATTAGATTTATATGTATAGCATTGCTCTAACATAGGTATTTTGACTCAAAATTGAACCTTTTCTGAAATAACATACCAAATTTTTTTTCATATTTCTATTCTAAGACTCAAATTATGCCTAGATATTAAATTTTGTAAAATATATGGGAAATTTACAGAAAAATTCAAAAATTCCTTCACCTCTTTTATTTTTCTTTGGCAATTTTTTCAGTTTACGCCAAGAATAATTCACTTGGCAAACTTCTTAATATATGACAACCAGTTTTCCTTTCCCTTCCATTATGCTGTAGTGGAAAAAAGGCACCTCATTCCTACCTTATTACATTGTGCATGAGCGGAAAAAAGCCACATCTTTCCTACTTTCAAATAATTTTAGCAAAGTGTCCAAACCCCATTTGATGTTTTATCGCTTTCAACAAGTATGCCAAATTTCAAAATGCGCAAATGTATAAATTCACATATATCTTCTGAAATTTTGAATAAAAAACAGTAATTTTTGGCAGTTATGCTTAGAAATACGCCTGCTTTTAAGATGATGTTAAAAATTTTATAGATTATAATTCAAAAATTTTTTTTTTTGAAAAACTAAAAATTATTAAAAAATACAAATTTTAAAAATAAATCATAAAAAATGGGTTAATTTTATTTGGAGTGAACCTGAATTTCAAAATGTGAACGGAAGAATCAAATAAGTTTCATAAAAAAAAGAGATTAATAAATATATGCAAAACTCAAATAAGAGGAGCTTAACCCCTTAACTGCCGCGGGCGTTATATACGCCTTGCTCAGCCGATGCGTTAACTGCCCCAGGCGTATATATACGTCCTTCCAAACTGCTATCATTTGCTTTGAGCTGCTACACCTAAAATTATTCGCAAAGTTAACGCATCGGCTGCACATCTGGGGCAGTTAACGCATCGGCTGAGCAAGGCGTATATATACGCCCGCGGCAGTTAAGGGGTTAAATTTTGAAAGCTAATTTTTTAAAAACTACTTTTGCAAAATATACAAAACTTCGTAATTTGGCATAATTTGAGTCGTAGAACGGAAATGTAGAAAAAAAATTGGTATGTTATTTCAGGAAAAGTTTATACCTATATTAGATCCTATATTAGAAAATGTTAGATAAATGCCCCTTTGAATGTAATTTAAAGTCTAACCTTTCAGAGTTTTATTTTTATTTATTTATTTATTTTCTTGCTCAGTGAACATGAGATAAAAAGGGTTGAGAAACCACTGGTATAAACAATTAATAAAAAAACCAAAATTATATTTGAATATGTGCATATAATTTTCTGATAGAATAACATCAAAATATTAACTATTGAATTAGTATTTGCTATTATAGGTTAATTTAGTAGTAAATGACTGGAGTGTGGGTTTTTGAAATTTGGAAAACAACTTCTTTTATGGAGCATGTGGGTGCACAAGATTTGTATGCAGTCAAGAAAAACTAGGTGGAGAATTAACAGCTTTTATTTGAAGATAATATGATTTATATTCAATTTTAAATAGGTGTGTGTATGTATTTCAACAACATAGGAAAAAGTTGTTACTTTAAATTACTGAATAATTATAGAAGCGTGGATGGAATATTTTGTGAGGTTGAACTGAAGCTGGCTTAAACTACAGTAGTCTGATGAATTTTCATCTCAATTTTTAAAACTTGTTAGATGGTGTTACAAATGTTTGCTTCCTTAATTTTTATCAGCCTAGTAAATGATATATTTCTGGCTTAGATTGCTAGTTATTTTGCTTCTTAATTCTCCATCATGCTGCACCAGTGATTAAATGGTTAAAGACTGTTATATAACAGTAATTGTCTTGGGTTAGAACAAAAGCTTACTAATGTGACTTACATATTTGATTAATGCAGTATTTAAAGGAGATACTAAGAACTTTGTGGTTATAATTCTATATAGTTTCTTTGTCATTTTCACTTCTGCATTATGATGTCCATAGTATGTTTTCAAGGGGGGAGAAAGTGAATGTATTTTCAAGTGTTATTTAGAAAACAAAACAGTTATTTGTTTCAATGTTATCAGTTTAGAAAATATTACTACTGATCTGAATTGTTACATTACCAGGTGTACAAGTATGAATTGCACATTAAAAGAAATTTAGAAGAATGATAAAATGTGCTTTATTCAAAGTATGCTGTTGTTTGTTAAACATTTTTTTGCATCTTTCGGGCAATTAGTGAATACCACAACAGTAAAAATCTTCTTTTTCCTGTAAACCATTCATCAAGCTATTTTTTAATCTGGTGAGTAAGCTGCATGGGGTAGTACTTCCCAGCTGAGTGGTTCCAACATGTTGCGAACCAGTTTTGCCGTATGTGATGGAGCATGAAGAAAAATGACTTTGTATTGCCTCTTTTGGTATTCTAGCCATTTTTCAAGCAGAGAATGGTTCAGATCAGTCAGTAGTTGTTGGTAAAGTTTTGTATCAACCATTTCCCCAAGTTTTTACAGCTCTTGGTAGACAGCACTCCTCTGGCCCCACAGACACAGATCGTTCTTGCGAACAGTGTGCCTGGGTTTACTCTTATTTTTGTTCACTTGAGATTCTTAAAATAAATTAACTTTTCACCCCCTGTAACTATACATTGCAAAAACGACTTCTTTTCATACCAAGTGAGCAATATGTCACACTTTTTTTTGCTCTTTTTCAGTTGTCTGTTGTTCAAATGATGTGGTACCCATCTACCGGTTTTATGAATCTTTTCCCCATCTCTCATAGCCAATTGGAAATAGCTTAAAAACAAACTAACACCCAATTGCTCAGTGAGTTGTATTGTGTTTGTGAATCATTCTTCGTCCAACAATGCTTGCAATTCCACATCTTCATATTTTTTTGCCGTTTTTCCTCGTTCCTTGCCTGCAACATCAAAGTCACCACTTTTGAAATGCCAAAACCATCGTTCACACATCTTACAATGGAGCATGTTCACCATAAGCTTCTCGAAGTAATCAGTTTGATTCAACAGCAGTTTTCTGTAAATGAAAACTAAATAGTAATGCTATCCGCGAATATTCTTTGTTCAGTATAAATTTCTACATATGGAACACAACACTATGCACATACTTTTCCAATTTATCACTTGTGCACATCTGGCACATCTGATGCTGATGACACAGCAAAATGGTAGAGCATCAAATCATTATAGCACAGACTGCATTGGTGCGTCATGTGTTGTCTGCAATCTGCATTTCATACTTGTACACCTGGTACATAGAAAAATTTGAGATAATGCTAAATTTGAAGATTATGTGCTTTCAAGCAGTCAAAATTTCTAAAAAAATAAAATAAATTTAAATGACTAAATAAAATAAAAATAAAAAATTAACATGTCATGAGTTTTAATTTTTCATTTAAAATTTGTTTCTTTGTATACATTGTCTCTTCATTTTGAAAAAAAAAAAAGAAGGGGGGATTAATAACATAAGCATAAAAAAAATTCACAAAATAATTACTTATATAATTTTTGCCAGATACTCAAAGATAATTTGCATGCTTCTTAACTGTGACAAATAATGGAATCAGCAAAGTTAATTTATTTTCATCAAGCATTGTGTATCGAGAGTTAATGAATGTGAATTCTTGAATAATAAGATAATTTCTATGTGGTAGCTTTTTTTTAATGAAGTTGGGCAGACCTTTTTCAAAATGTTTAAATAGGTATTTTTACTATCAGAGTAAAGTATCTGAACATATAATTCTTTTACTTTATTTAAGATCTCTGGAAGTGACCAAATTGAAAAAGAAAAAAGTAATTGCAATAGAAGAGAATGGAATTAGCAAAAAGAAAAAGAAGAAACAGGCGGTTGTAGAAGAAAACACAGAGTAAATGAATTATAAATTATAAAAAAAATTTCTTTTAGTGATAATATTGTGAGATATATAAAAATAAAATTTGTGACTATGAGTATAAAATTTCTGAATATTTAATACTTTACTTTATTTAAGGTATCTGGAAGTGCCCAAATTGAAAAAGAAAAAAGTAATTACAATAAAAGAGAATGGAATTAGCAAAAAGAAAAAGAAGAAACAGGCTGTTGTGGAAGAAAACACAGAGTAAATGAAGTTATAAATTGTAAAAAGTTTCTTTTAGTGATTATATTTTGAGATGTATAGAAATAAAATTTGTGAGTTATCACAACAGATTCATGATATCTTATAGTTTATTTATTTTGCATATAATTGTACAGTTTGAAATAAACTTTTACTTTTTTTTAATATACCCATGGAATTGTTATTCATTTTCTTTGGTTCTGTTGTATTTTCATTTTAGTCATAACTAATAATAAATAGAAATATTATCTGGGGGAAACTATGAATATACAGAATTTCAGAATTTTTTTATACATCTTTGGAAAGTCATTGTCTTTAAGTGGGATTTTATCTAAGTGCAAAAGTTGCTATTTATATTTCTGGCTTTGGCAACAGTAAGTGTTGCTAGGTGATTGCAGATGATTTCAATCGAAATTTGATATTTTTAACTATAAATTCTTCTGAACGTTTTGCTATTTTAGGATGATTTGTGATGTTTATATTATAGTAAATTGAAAAATTCATCTGGGGGGGGATGGAATTGAATCATGAAAATCTTCATGCAATTATTTTTCATAATTTTCAACATGGAGTATCGTGACAAGATTGCTGCATTCAACTTAATTCTTTATACAGCAATAAAGCACCATCCTACATCACTGTAAAACACTGGTAAAATGAATTCAGTCATGGTTCACATTTCTCTCCAGGATGAATTCTGTGAAGGTCATGTAAAATTGGTTGTTGTGCCAGAAAATATCATTGCTGTGCGTGAACTGATAAAGCAAGATAGTCATGTAACATACTGTGAGATTGAGGCATCATTGGGCATTAGTGTAACAAACATCAGTAAGATATTATATGAACATTTGGCCGTAAAAAGATTTGTTCGTGTTGGATCTCGTATAATCTGACAAACACTGAAAAGAAGGCTTGTCTCAATTTGTGCAAGGAATTGTTGGAAAAATACGTACAAGGTGCATCAAAGGCTGTATATAGCATCTACACAGATGATGAATCATGTATCTGCGCATATAAGCTTGAAACATGACAGCAGTCGTCGACTGTAGGGGTCTTCTAAGAGGGGCCAAATCCAACAAAAGTTGTTTGTGGAAGAAGCACATCGAAGAAAATGGTTGCCTGTTTCTTCGGCATTACAGGTCACATGGCATTACAGCAACGCAGGACGGTCAATTCCGAATGGTGCATGACCATTTGTTTGCCAAAGCCATCGGAGAAATTTAAAGAAAGCAGAAGATGCAAATCATTCTTCATCATGACTATGTGAGCTTTCGTACAGTGTCTCAAACAAAGGAATTTTTTATGGGTCATCTATCATACAGCCCTGATTTGCCACCCAATGACTTATTTTTTTTATTCCCACTTATCAAAAATAAATTAACCTCTTCGCGCCGACTGTCACGTATACGTGCCAGCAACGAACACACTTATCTACCGGCCGACACGTAGGCGTGCCAGAGCATTGTTGCGTTTTCTACCGACTGTCACGTATTTGTGCCAGTATCTTGGAACGTTTTTCAAACTATAATTTCTGCCACAAGATGGCACTGTATGTCCATATGGTTTCAGATACATGTACATTAGACCTTCTATTCGAAATGAGAGAAGCATGACTCACATACACGTGTTTTTGATTATATAAACAAACGGGGAACTAAATGTTTCCGAATGGCGCTATTTATGACGTCTCTTTAAATCCCACTTTATTCGCATGTGGTAGTTGTTTATTGCAAGTAGAAGTTTTATATGCGCTAAAGCGTTGAGTATTTCCGTTTACAGTTCAGTTTTTAGAAAATAATTAGATCTTGTTAGACGTGAATTCTTTCTGTTTTTACCGTTTCAATGTCGAAGCGTCGAAAATGTTTAACAGAGCATGAAATAGCAGAAATGATGCAAAATATTTCAGATATTGATTCTGAAAGATTAACTGAAAGACATTTTCCAAAACTTTGTTCAGAAGAGACTGATAAGAAAATGAGACGACAATGCTTCGTTTGTTCACATTCCCGGAAAAATCCTCCAAAACGGCAAATGAGTTATTACGAGTTCAAGGAATGTAATGTAGGACTGTGTGTAGATCCCTGTTTTAAAATTTTTCATACAAAAAGAGAATTTTAAGTAATATATTTAGTTTTCAGATGTATAATGTTAAAAGTCATAAAATGGTGAGTAATTAAAATAAAATGTGTAAAATATGCATTTAAACAAGAAATAAGGTAATTGAAGTATGTATATAAAAATATCTATAAAGCATAAGCCGTTTAAATACTCTATAGAGCATTATTAAACAATGCGTTGATGCTTCGAAAATTTCATGGATTTAGGCCTAGTAACAAAAAAGCCCCCGGGCCTGGAGAGACGCTCGCGGAAGACACTGCCGGCCTCCGCGATAAGCGCGCGTTTTCGCTACCCGGCTCGAAGGGGTTAAGTGGTCAGTGATTTGTGACACCCAGAAAAGCAGTTTACCGTCTGACGTGCGCTGGTCGTGACTTGAAACCACCAATTTTCGAATTTTTTTCTCCTTTCCGAAATTTTTGAGTGAAAATCGATTGCAGATCTTTTACCTCTACATAACACAAAATGACTGCAGAATCAAACATGTTTTAAGTCTTGGTACTTCAAATCGGCTGCCTTTTAAAATTCGTTTTCATTGAGTAACTTCCTTTTATTAATATAAACAACTTCAAATTTCAAAAGTTATTCATCGCACATCATGATTTCTATCTTGAACAGTAAACATTGCAATAATTAAACTGCATATATTAAAAAAAACCTATCTATATTTATAGCATTTGCTTTGTGGTTTCAGGGGACGACCACTGCGCCAATAGAGCATCTAGAGGCTCGGTGGTCGCACTTTGAAACCACTGCTCTTCACAATGGCGTTTGCTTGCTTTTCGAATAGGAATGGTTATTTTTACTTGGATATTGATAAGGAGCTTTGAAACTACAGAGTTATTTTATTACTAAACAATACGTGCACCTGCGCAGTGAAAAGGTCTTTCTTTTCCAGACATTTTTCTCTGACCTCAACACACTTGCTTCCCAAGCTAGTATTGTGATTTTATAAATTATTTTGTGTGGTTTAAATTTAATGTAAATATACTTTGCTATAATTAAAAATAGAAAGAGCAAGAAGCAAGAAGTGAAACATAAGCATTTCGAAATTCATCTTTTCTAATAAAGAACTGTTAAGCAACTTTTCGCATATGGGATTGTGAATTCTTTTATTAAACAGTTCTAAATTTGACGACTTGCCAACATTTTGGCGATTTTAAAATTAGTTTCTATAGAAAATTTTTTAATTCCGAGATCCGAGAATTTTCCGGCGATTTATTTAAAAAATCATAATATTGATAAATTTCATTAAAATAATGGTAATATATTAGAATTATATTTAAAAAATAACATTAAAATAAATTTTTTTTTTCACTGTCATATTTTAAAGTTTCATTTTGGCAACATATTATACAATATAATAAACAAGGTATAATACTATAAAGCATAATTTATGAAACAGCTCTTAGTAAAAGCAAAATTAGCTATGTAATTAATTAAGAATGTCTTCTTTTTAATTTTTTCATAGTAAGCTTTTTCCCATGTAATTGTCTCGGATTAATCAAAATTCTCAGAATATGCATCAGATTTCTCTATAAAATTAATTTTGCACTTTTTCCTTCCCCTTCTTTCCAAAATATTTCTGGCTTTTTGCTGCTACAGAATTGGTTAGGATAATTTTTCTTTAGTCTTTTTGACATTGCAGCATGGAACGTTTAGAAGGATTTAAAGGCAAGCTTTATAGACCCACAATTCTAGAAGATTCGAGAAATATCTGACAAAATGAAAAACGTCTCCATGGTATCAACATGTAATGGATGTATTTTACAGAAAGTTTGCAATGAATTTCTTACTTTTTGGAGAACGTCTGGAAGAACAATGGAAACATAATATTTGAATGTTTTACTCCTGATACCAGAATCTTTTTCTTAACATGTTTATCTTCCCTTTATTTTCTGTACTTTTAGCTAGACTCAAGCATGGAAAATATCAAAAATGCTTCTAATCTTATCACTTGGGCAGGCATTATAGAAAGAGATTTTTTTATTAATAAAGAAATTGGAAACTTACAATTTAAAAGATTCATCTAATATGTCTAAATGCATCGTACACGGATCTGGTGCTAGGCATTTTCCCACCTGATACAATCTTTGTGGATCCTAAATTTTGCTGCCTAGTGCCTTTCTAAATTCTGCTTCCAATGCCTGCTCTAAATTCTGAAAGTTTTGCCATTTCTAGATTTTGTTGTTCTATGTGTCTCTAAATTCTAAAAATTCTGCTACACTAGCTCTGTAACCGGCCTTTACCGTATATATTTCATATTTCTTCTTTTCAGCCACTTTTTCTATACATTCGAAATGCATTTACTGTTTTTTAGAATAACAGAAATCCTTAATTAAATCCAAAAATTCTAAAATTAAAAGGAAACATATTGAAAAAAGGAAATCGAATACATAAAGAAAATTATTCTTCAAAGATTATGTGCAGTTATTATTATATCAATTACCCTATTGTTTTTGATTCATTCAGGCCTTTACTATAATTTCCCATTTCTATTTCCTTTATATGATAGAGTTACTGAGCCAGATTAAATTAAAATTAAATTGTATAATCTTTGACCACCAATCCACAATTTTAGTTTCAATTTGACTGTTCTTGTTTAATTACGTCACCGTGAGCTGTAATTGACTTTGTTAGCATCAGAACTTGCCTTTATGTTCTAAGTTCTTTTAAAAAAAGTGACTTATTTAAACCTTTGTCTGATATTGTAGTTACTTTCAGATACAGTGATAATTTGCTTCGCAACTATCGGGGGTGGGGGGGATTATTTAACTTTTACCAGATCAAGTAAACCCTCATAGGTACATTGTGGAGAGGTTGACAAGTTAGGAGATAAAGCACACAGAAACTAGCGAGAACACTGGTTCGCATATTGAGACAAATTTCTAATTATTGTTAGAAAAAATGCTGAAACAGAAGGAAATCAATATAAACCTGCCAAAATGTTTGCGAAGGCTTGTAGAGACATTAGTTATTTTTGAAAGCAGGAAAGATAAAAAATTAACAACGCCTTCGCCGGGAATCCAACCGCTGGAATACCGGCCCAGTGTG